CTTAGACGAACTGGATATATTGAATAACCTTAATCCTTTCTAGATTTATTTTAGTTTATTTAATGTAAAAAAATATTACTAAGCAAAATAAATAATATACATATAAAAATCTTGTTTTTTTTAGTTTACTTTAATAATAACCATTAAAACTTCCTTTACCATTTTCAAGAAGTCTTACATGTTGTTTTATTTACAATCTCAAAGACTAATTAAAACATAGTAGTTTTATACCCCTCAAACCCACAAGTAAAAAAAATAATATTGATTTTTAATATCAAGGTACCATAAATAAACAGCTATTTGAGATGCAATCCTTGTTTTGTACTGAGTTTATTAACATTTATGATATATTGTGTTTATTTAAAAAGATTAAAATAAAAACTATGTTAAATTATCATGTATTATTTAATAAACCAACTTTGTATAGCCACATTGAAAAAATTTAGGTATTCTGTCCTAAGGCCCAGTTTTACAATTGTAGTATAATTCATAGAATAACTATAGTTATTCTAATATATATATTCTCAATAGAGCTTAAAGGAGCAGGATATATAGAATAGGAAAAATTTTGTAATATAAATAACTTGTAAAAATATTTTATGTTTGTAAATGTAGTTTTCATTAAAGATAAATTAAAATCAACTAGTATAATACAGTTAAAAATAATAATATTGGTTTTTAATATTAAGGTACCATAAATAAACAGCTATTTGAGATGTCATCCTTGTTTTGTACTGAGTTTATTAACATAATAAAAATAAATAACCTAATAAAAATATTTTAAATTATCATGTATTATTTATTGAACCAACTTTGTATACGCACATTGAAAAAATTTAGGTATTGTAAGTCCCTGAATCAAAGAAAATCTGAGATAAGTTTATTTTTATGAATATCCCAAACGTTTTCCATATGTGTACTAACATTAAAATTAAAATTTAATTAATATTTAATATTATCTGGAGTGCGTGTTGTGATGAATTTGTATGATGCGGTCCCTGATGTGCTTTGGTTCTGGGCTGATTGCTGATGTAGGTTCTGAAACTGAAACGGGATGTGAGAACAAGTCTCGTATGTGCTTCGTTTCAGTGTATATTTACACATCTCTCTCACCAAAGGGGTTGGCTACCAACAATCTTGAGAGCGATATACACCCTAACTAATACAATAGCTGCATAAGGTCGATATACAACCTAACTAATACAATAGCTGCATAAGGGTACATATACCTCTTCGAAGAAAGCCGGAGACATATCAAGGTGGGATGCTACCATCAACTGTTCTTGAATCATATCTTCGTAGGGATGAACGGTATCCATGTTCTAAAAAGAGAAAAATACTATTTGGTCTAGCCGCGATAACTTTAAACATTTACTTGTCATAACCCGGCGCATGCGTATTTTTCATAACACCGATAAAGTTCTAAAATGTTTCATGCAACCAAACAGGATGTTGTGGGTGAGTGATATAATTTTAAAATAATATCAAAGAAAATTAAAATTAAAAACGGTAAATAATTGTTTTTCAAAACATCAATAAAACATTAGTTAATATTCTATATCCTAGTTTTTAGGTGAATCGCTCGAAGCATTTTTAAATAAAATAAAAATTTGTTGAAATTACCACTTTTCTTCTCTTTGTATTTAACTTAAAAACGCGTCTATAGATTTGGATAAAAAAATATGTCTATGTCAAATAAAGTTATATTGATGTTTTTACTACAAAAAACAAGCATGGTTTACTGTCTAGTTGTTGAAATACGGACCTTCTTACTTAAAAATCTCATATTAGGAAAAATTTGAAGTTTTCACAATACAACAAAACATTTTTGATTGTTTTTATTTTAGTTATTATTTGAAAGAAAACTAAAAATCCTCATGTTTGATATATATCACAATATATTTTGGTCGAAAACAAACGAAATAATATGGTTAAAAATTAAATTTAGTGACTACTACATATATTTTTGGTTTTTTTAATTATACTTCTTTGTTTTTAAGAAAAATGTAGGTTTTAATATATTATTTTAAAGATAATTTAATAAACTAAAATATAAAAATTAAAAAGAAAATGTTTAAAATACCACCCTGTATATGGTGCTACAATTACCTTAAGCCTATTGAATACATGTAAATAAATAAATTAGTTTTGACTTACATCGGCCAACGCCCAATTTCTAAAGTGTTATTTCCATGCATGAGTTCTTGATGATTTTTCTTAAACGAGTCTAAGGAAGATGTCCAATCCCTTTATTCTAGTGTAAAGTGATTGTTACTAAGTTTGATTACCAATATCCTTCTTCTCCAGAGTAATTTGCGTGGGGTTGTCCTTCTGGGGTAAACTTCTGTTGACTGTTCTAAAATTATAAAAATAAGTATTTTACCAGGTTCTGCTGTAGTTTCATGTCCCTTTACATTTTTGTCGAAATCCGGTCTGAGAATATATTTAATAAAAACATTTCGTAATTCTGATAATTTTCCTAAAATTTTAAAAGTATTTTACTAAATGGGTATGCAAATCACGTTGAATGTGAACTAAATAATATTTTATTTTTTAACACCTAAAGCAATATTAAAAATCTAAATAATAAGGAAACAATATTTTAATTATATTTTTTTCAATGTTTATAAATAAAACTATACTCGGCATATTTATTAACATAAGAGAAAAATATTTTAATTATATTTTAAACTGCCTGGACAATTTTTAGGAATATAATATTATAAAAACAAGATTTTATCTCTGTTTTTAACTACTAAACAATTTTAAGAATTTAGAGAAAGTATACTTATTATATTTATAACTGTTTTATTGCACCAGAAATTCATTTTTTAAAACACCCCAAGCAATATTAAAAATCTAAATAATAAGGAAACAATATTTTAATTATATTTTTTTCAATGTTTATAATTAAAATTACTATCCTTAGCATATTTATTTACATTAGAGAAAATTATTTTAATTGTATTTTATCTCTTTAATTCTTTAAGCTACCTGGACAATTTTTAGGAGTAAAATATTATAAAAACAAGATTTTATCTCTGTTTTTACTAATAAACAATTGTAGGAGTTTGGAGAAAGTATACTTGTTATATTTTAGCTCTGTTTTTAACTACAAGACAATTTTAAGAATTTAGAGAAACAATATTTTAATTATATTTTATCTCTGTTTTATTGCATGAGAATTTCTAAATTAATTTAAAAATAAGCTCAAGTAATACAAAACTGTTAGGATGTAGAATAATAGCTTTTGTTACTCTTTACTATTAAATAAATGGTTGTTTGGATGATAATTACTAAAAATAAAAATTACTTACCCAATATATGCACACACATACACACACACAATAAAAACTCAGTCTATAGGGAAAAACAATTCAAAGGTCAAATTACACAATAAAAAACAAAAATTGGCACAACCGTTTAGGGAGAAAAAATCGAAATGTAAATTATTTCTTTCTGTTTTACTATTTATATCTAACCACCACCCATTGCGTTATAATATTACATATTTTTTGTTTTTTAAGCGGAAGCCTCATTTCCGTTTCAAATTCTAGATAAAACCATAAAGTTTGATATCAATATTGTATTGTAATATTTTTTATTTGAAAATCTTTAAATTATATTAATTAATTAAAAAATGAATATGTGTTATTTATTGAAATAAATATTTTAAAAATCCTCTCGAAAAAATAAAATTAATTTAGTGTGAGATATTTAAAATTTGCAATTATTTCGTAGTTTTACATACATTACTTTGGGAAATAGTTTTTTCAGCGCGCACCGCAAAAGTTTAATAACAATTTTAAACAGTATTTTATATTAATTATTTTATAGTTTTTATACATTAGTTAAATTTAAATAATTAATAATTATTTAAATATAGCTTTTATCTCTTTTTATAAATTTTAAATATATCTAATATCCTCTAATGACGTGCTGGCCGATCATTTTTTATAGCATCTCTAGGCGCCTGTTATCAATTCCGAACGGTAGCTCAGCAGGTAGCGCTTCCGACTCTGGTGCACAGGGTCTCGGGTTCAATCCCTGAGGGTGGCCGGCTGATAGCGGCCAACTGACGGCATCCGAGCGACCTTGGTGGAAAAAGGTGAATTTGACCTTTGGCGATCTTATGGCATTTGATTACTGCGTTGTTATTTTAATGTTTTAAACAATTATTATTATGTTTAAACGCGCACCCCCAAAACAGTTGGATAGGCGATAAAATGATGCAATGTTACGCAAGGTCAGCTCGCGGTTTAAACAATGGAGCTCAGCGGTGTGGCCACTGGGTATCTATTATTCAGACGACCGATATTTTAGATAGGCCTGGGGCCCCCATGATTTTCGGCGATGGGTCCGTCCGAAGGGCCCCTAAAGGGGGCCCCCATGGGGCGCAATTCCGAGTCCGTGTGATCTGTCCAAAAGTGGGCGGGGCTTAGCGGGTCGGGAAAAAGCGGAGGGTGTAAAGTGGGCGGGGCTTAGCGGGTCGGGAAAAAGCGGAGGGGGTAAAGTGGGCGGGGCTTAGCGGGTCGAAAAAAAAGTGGAGGGAGTGGTCTCAACCGGCGGTATACCTACTTTTGTTTACCCAAAATAGTATGGCAAACCAGATTATTCAATGCTAAAGAAAAATACTCTGCAGGGCAATAGAAGTTTTTACTAAAAAATATTTGCAGAACATAAATAATTAAATTAGTTATAAATTAAAACAACACTGTTAGAATTTTGATTTATAGTTTTATTTAATTTTTGACCATAATATATGACGACTGTTTTGTTTTAGCAAAACTCATCGAGTTCCAGTGATTTAGAATACAAATGTAGTAACTTTCAAAAAAATACTTTGAGTGTATTGCATAATAATGCTGTAACCGAAATTAAATCTGATATTTTAAAGGTTACCGAAAAAATTGAATCAGAAAAAAATTGCCAAAATTTGAGTTTATTGTGCAATAAAGATAAAGAAATCATAGAAAATAAAAAAAAAATCATACAAAAGAATGCCAGACTATTGTTATTACTACGAAGCTGTAGTTCTTAATTTTGGCCGTCATGTTTTAAGAAACCATATGACGGAGAAAGATGTGGCAGAAATTTCAACAAAACCAGTAGGGAGCAAAGAAAGAAGAGAATTGTTTGACAATCTTAGAAGAAAAGGAAATTTTCTGGCCAGTGGAGGAAAGTGCTTTAAAGCAGTAAGGCAAACATATGTTTTAGAAAGGACATTATTGCCCTGTGATAATTGCTTGGGATTTTTCTCCTCAAAACTTTTATACAGGCATAGAAAAAAATGTTTAAAAGGTACAAATCCAGTAGGTTCAGCTCAGGCTGCGGGTCAGTCAAAACTACTTAGTAATTTAAAAATAGATAGTCGTTTAAAAGAAGAGGTCTTTCCTCGCATGAGACCTGATAAAATTTCCTTGGAAGCCAAAAATGATCCTTTGATCCGGGCATTTGGAACTAGATACTTAAAAACCCATAGAGAAAAACATTTTATTCATGTTACTTCGAGAAAGATGAGAGAGCTTTCTAAAATACTTCTTGAAATGAGAAAATTAGATACATCTATAACGACAATGTTTTCTGGATTACAACCGAAATTTTTTGATATGTTTGTTGAAGCTACAAAATGTATAGCTAAATATGATGCTGAAAAGGATGTTTATCACTCGCCAACCTTTGCAATGAACATTTGTACTTCGCTTAAAATGTGTTGTGATATTGCAATCACATTTGCTTATAAAAAACAAGCTCCTTATGTTTCAGTTTCTAGTGCTACCTTTGAAGCAGATCTCAAAACTTTAATTCATCTTTTTGAAACAAACTGGAGTTTTGAAGTTTCGTCCCATGCAGCAAGTAACCTTAATCTAAACAAATGGAACAAGGTGACAATAATTTCTTTGGCAAGCGATTTAAAACTTTTAAGACAGCACTTAATTAAAATTGCCGATAATGCTTTACAAAATTTAAAAAAATATAAGAATGAAATTGCCACATCAATAGTTCAAGAAACTGATAATACTTTACAAAGCAAAATAAAATTAGGCTTTAATGATTATAACAAACTAATTGAGTCTGTTTACTGTAGAGTGATTTTGCTTAACAGAAAGCGTTCAGGGGAGAAAACATTCTTTTAAATACTCTAAAAAGAGTAGTCATTAGAGGTAAACGAGGTAGAGGTGTCCCAGTTTTATTTAGTGCTGATGTACAAGATCACATAAAAGTTTTGCTTGAAGTCAGAGATTACTTTGTACCCAAAAATAACCCGTACCTCTTTGCTATTACCAATACCTCTTCAAATTTAATAGGTTATAAAGTATTAGGTAAACACGCCAAATTGTGCAGTGCAAAAAATCCGTCATCAATTACTTCAACTCGCCTAAGAAAACACCTTGCCACATTATCCCAGTTATTTACTTTATCAGATGGAGAAATTGAACAATTGGCAACATTCATGGGACATACATCAGGAGTACACAGAAATTCATATAGACTTCCGGATGACGTCTACCAAACTGCAAAAATTTCAAAATTACTTATGGTAATGGAAAAAGGTGGGGCAAATGAATACAAAGGTAAATCGTTAGATGAAATAAACATAAATATGGAAGAGGATCCCTTAGATAATAATAGTGATGAGAGCGAAATTGATGAACCAGAAGAACCAATAGTACATACACTTGAACCAATAAGCAGTCGACATGAAGTTCCTTTGAAAAGTAAGCCCAATAACATTTTAAACATGAAATTAAAAACACAACGTAAACTTGTTCCTTGGACAGATGAGCAGAAACAAGTTACCATTGATTTCTTTAAAAATCACATATAAGAAAAAAAACCACCCAAAAGAATCGAATGCGAACTTCTAAAATCTAAATATCCAGAAGTATTGCACAACAAAGACTGGCTAAAATTAAAAGTATTTGTACAAAATATATACGCCAAAAAGTAAAATGATTATTATTATATTTTACTCCATTAATGTACAATACAATTTTCATCGATATTGATGTTTTTAGTCTGCTTAAAAGAATAATAAACGTGTTTTAAGTTAAATGTTGTTTTATTACAATAAAATTAATAATAATAATACTTAGTATACATATACATATAAGGTGACCAACTTTCTAAAATGAAAAACCAGGACACAACATGCCCCTTCTTGCCCTTCCAAAAAATAAACAAAATTTATTTTATTTAATAATAATTATTTGAAAAAAATATGTGCTAATAACGTCAATAATAAAAAAATTATCCCAAAGATACTCCCAAAAATTCAGATTTTTTAATTAATTTTTAACCTGAGCCTAACCACTTTTAATAAAAAAATTAGAACAAATCCTAAAAAAGAGGGAAAAACTCATAATTAAAAAAAAATTCAAACGAGATTTTTTTTTACTTTTTTTATTATCCTGAAGTTACTCCCAAAAATTCAGATTTGTAAATTAATTTTTAACCTGAGCCCCAACCATTTTTATTTAAAAAATTCAAACAAATCCTAAAAAAGTGGGAAAAACTCATAATTAAAAAAAATATTTCAAACGAGGTTTTTTCTTACTATTTTACTATCCTAAAGGTCCTCCCAAAAATTCAGATTTTTAAATTGATTTTTAACCTCCTGGATCTTGCGAGTGCCGCAATTGGGGCACTTAAGACTCAAGTGGGAGGAAAAAAATTATGATACTTTTATCATTAAATTATTACTTGAACTATAATTATATATAATATATATACTATATTTATAGATATATCATATTATATTATATTATATTATATTATATTATATTATATTATATTATATTATATTATATTATATTATATTATATTATATTATATTATATTATATTATATTATATTATATTATATTATATTATACTATATTATAATTATATGTTTATACACAGGGTGTATAAAGTTTTAAGTCTTTATAAGTCTGGATCTAAAAAAGATATCAAAAATTTCTCAAAACCGTTTTAAGGATATGTGGGGGAAACAGTATGACTATAAAAATGACCTTCATTACACCCCAACTCTTTTTTTATATGGCAACGCCCTCTTTGAAAATAATTTTTATAATTATTTATTCCAATTTCTCGTTATAAATATCAAATTAAACCATTTTGTTGTCGTAAAAAACTGGAAAACACAAAAGTAATCTAATAAACTAAAAAAGCATAATTAAACAAATTCATCAACAATAATCAAAACACTTTATTTTTAGTTTTTTAAATTAAATTCTCAAAATTCTTCAAATCTCTTTTAAGTCCAGACTTAGAGGGTGTGTGTATGTGTTTGAGTCGGTCCCTAGATGGTCACAATTGGACCCGGTAGGCAATCGCGTTCTAGCCAAAGTACGGGCAGGAAAACGTTTGTCGGGCCCGCTAGTATAATATAATTATGTGTAATATAATTTTATTTAATTAGTTTTAGGTGCGTAGTCAGCATAATATATTATCATTGGAACAATTGTAGAACTTCCCATTGAAATTCCTTCGTTCGATCATTTCGAATTCAAATTTAACTAATAAATAAACAAAAAATAGCAATATCTCACTAATAAAATAATTAAAAATGCACATGGGATGTCATTCATGAATTTTGATAACAACAATGTTTTAACTAAAAATATAAGTGCAGTTAATAACTTACCTCCATGATAATTACGAACATTTAGAGCGTGCGCATATTTGGCAACACCGCATTGACGCTACAATGTACGATATACGCTATTTTGGAGTTGGCAAGGTCGGTTTTTAGAAAAGCGCCATAATGTACTTAATATATAAGAAAATTCGTATATTTAATTTCGTTTCGTTTAATTAGATTAAAAAATGAGAACTAGTTTATAAATACCTTTGTGATTCAGTATACATACCTAGATTCGTGCTAAATTTACGTTTTCTATGTGACGCAATAAGGTCTCAGTTTAAAAGGAAGCAACAGTGATATCAACTTTGGTTTTTCAAATGGAACCATGTAAATATTATTGCATTTTTGAATTCTACGTAAAATTCTAGAAATACTAAAATTTCATTATTTTTTTATTTTTAACAGTTTTTGAGATATTTAATTTTTTTTTAATTTTGACAGATGGATTGTCTTACTAATATGTATGTATTACCACTAATTGTAATGTTAAAAAGTTAATTTTTGGTGTAACAATTAACTAAGGAGCACTCTATCGAAAGCCATTAATAGTATTTGAAAATTTTATACAGGGTGTCCGGTATTTACGTTGACTTTTTTGTCACTTAAAATACCAATAACTTTCTTATTTCAAATGAACCATACAATTTTCATATTATTGGACACAAAATAATGTTTTCTATTGAAATGCTGCAGCATTCCCTATACCTAAAATCAATATTTACAGATATATTACAAAAAATGTGAAAAAACCGCTTATTTTTTTATTTCTAATATGAGTAGTGTGCGTTGGATTGTCTTTTATTTCGTATTTATGAAGTAATGTCCATGTCAACGTCTCTGACAATTGTGTTACAATGGATGATAATAATTACACTAATCAAGATATTCTAAACATGTTTTATACATATGGCGAGTGCGGAAAAGTTTTAGAAAGGACAATAAGAACTTTTAATGAGAGGTATCCCAATTTAACCCCACTCACCAAAATTAAATTCCGGACGATAGAGAATAGATTTATTAATCTTGGCGCAGTAAAAGTAAAACGAAATAGGCAAAAACTGGTGACAGGCAACGAAGATAATCAAATCAACGTCTTGGGATTTTTAAATGCAGAGCCCCAAGGGTCCATCAGAGGAGTTAAAGCTGCCCTTGGCATTCCGTATACATCTGCCCAGCGGATACTCAAGAATACCGGAATGTACAACTACAAGTTCCTAAAAGTGCAAGGCCTTGAAGATGCAGATTTTCAAAGAAGGGAGCGGTTTTGCACGAAGTTTCTGGGCAAAGTTGATGAGGATAACTCTTTTCTGGGAAAACTTATATGGACAGACGAAGCCAAATTTTCCAGAGAAGGCATTGTTAATTCAAGAAATCAACACTTTTGGTGTGCTGAAAATCCATATGTGGTCCGACAAGGGAATTTCCAAAAAAAAATTTAGTTTTAACGTTTTTTGTCTGTTGATGAAGGATCAATTTTCATTTTGTATCTACGAAGAGAACCTGACATCAGAAAAATACCTGGAAATATTGAATTCGACGGTAAGCAAATTTTTGGATGAACTGTCTTTAAGCGAAAGGTTTCTTTGCTGGTACCAATTGGATGGCGCGCCGGCACATTGTTCTAGAAGAGTTTCGGAAAATTTGCCAATATTATTTAACGAAAAATGGATTAGAAGAGGTGGTCCATGGGAATGGCCTCCAAGGTCACCGGACCTAACACCTCTAGATTTTTATCTTTGGGGTATTATAAAAGCTAAAGTTTATCAAACACCCAGCAACAGCAAAGAATCTCTTGCTCAGAAAGTGAGACAAGCGTTTTCGGAATTGTCTTATGAAGAAATTTTGAGAACAACTTTTGAAGGTGTCTTGCGACGTATCAATATGTGTCATGAACAACACGGGTGATACATTGAACAATTACTTTAGATTTGTTTTATTTGTTACACTTGTTTATTTTTTCAATATAATTTTAAATTGATATTTCTTTTAACGTTGTTTAATACGAAATAAAAACAATCCAACGCACAATACTGATTATACACATTAAAAGTTCCTATTGTTCTTTCTAAAACTTTTCTTTTTTGATTAGTGTAATTATTATCATCCATTGTAACACAATTGTCAGAGACGTTGACATTGACATTACTTCATAAATGCGAAATAAAAGACAATCCAAGGCACACTACTCATATTAAAAATAAAAAATGGTGAATGTGGACTGTATGATTTAAAGATTTTGGAGTTGGAATGTGACTTACCCTGATTTCTTCCGGTCGTCTGATCTTGATTGGCCGGTCAGTGTTCCGTGGGGTTTTTAGTCACAATAGGGAAAGATATGGGGCTGGTTCACGCACAATTGTTCATTTAATTTAATAATCTAAACTTATAACTTATTCTAATTTACTAGTTTCGCACATAGCAATAGTTGTCGTCCGACGTTTTAAAACCGACTCTCTGCCCGTTCTCGCAAATATTAAAATCAACGTTTTTTTTACGCGTATAAACAAAAACAATATAATGTTAAATTGGTAAGCAGGACCGGCTTTAGCCGTGCGTAAACATACCGCCTACCAAAAATCCACGATTTTTAATAAAAAGTAGTAAGTAATATAGTAAATAATAACAAAATAATGGTTAATCCACAATAGGTAGTGAAATAAACCTTAAAAAGGAAACCCGAAAACAAAACAAAAAAAATATTAAATTGCATTTAAAAACAAGAAAACACAAAAAAAAAACAAAAAAAAAACGAACGTAGCATTAATGATTGGGCAAAGGCGCTAACTTGACCAAAGGTCGACGAAATTCGCCATTAACGGTTTTGACTGTGGCTACTCGAATTATCCCGTTTGCGCCGGGGTGAACCTGGGAAACACGCCCGAGTTTCCATGCTAAGGGGTGCTTTAATTCGTCCTTGATTAGGACCAAAGTACCAATTTTAAGTTCGTGTGAGGCATCAAGCCATTTAGCTCGTTGTTGCAGGGTATGAAGGTATTCCTGATGCCATCGAGTCCAAAACGATTGGTTTATTTGTTGAATGAGCTGCCATCGTGACAACGTACCCAGGTTAACGGAAGTATAATCGAAGTCAGGAGGACTGGTAAGAGGCTCCAACGTAAGAAAATGACCGGGAGTTAAGGCCTCCAGGTCGTTGGGATCCGAACTAATTGACATAAGGGGCCGCGAGTTTAGAACTGCTTCAATTTGAGTCAATGAAGTGTACAGCTCCTCATACGTAAGCAACTGAGTGCCTATAGCCCTATTAAGATGCGTTTTTACAA